AGAATGGGTAACTCGATAAATTACGTTATTACGTCACATCGTGAAAGTAGTATACATTATATATATATATATATATATAGTATAGTTGTAAAAATATTATTCGCGCAATAATATCGGTGAGAGGATCCATGATCCTTTGGCGATTGGCGGGGATATATGGAAGAGGTATTATTAATAAACGACGTTTTCTAAAAATACAACCGAAATATGTGCGACGATGCGAGTAGATGCACTTGAATACGGTGGGATCGAGAAGGAGAATACGCCAAGGTGTACGAGGTACGCATTCCAATGGGCGGGTTATCAGAGACGGATCCATCCCACCTTCCATGCTGGAATGCATTTCTGTCCTTTTTTTTCTTTCTTTCTTTCTCTCACTTTGAGAGGAGTTAAGGCTCGTTCATACTCGTGCGTTACTCTCGAAAAACACATGGACACGAGGGGAACGGGTGTCGGTCAGTGACACCGGTTTCAATCGGACCAAATGAAAGGGAACGCGCTCGATGGAAATAAGTCACCGATACTTTCTTCTTCTTCGTTCCCACTTCGGATTATTAACACCACTGCCGTTCGATTTTATTACGATCGAATAACGCTTAATGGATTTGCAGCTGGTAAAGAAAGAGAGAAAAAAAAATACGATAAAAAAGGAGAGAGGAAAATTTTACGATTGAAATTATCCGTGAATCTGTGCAATACCGTAGAAATTTTTGTACAATTTGTACAACGCGAACGTGGAATTTCACGTGGGATTCTTCGTAAATTCTCCGAGGAAGAATTTCAATTTGGAAGTATTCACCGGTGTTTTTCCAACTGTTATTCGATTATCATCTCGCTTTTTCGCCATTCCTTCCACCGCGATCCACACCGCGTAAATCGATAAACTTATCTGCATTCGCGAATACACTCTCTAATTACATATACATATATATACACGTGTATGCGTGATCTGTGTTGCCCTAAGGTGTAGGAGCAGAAGAAATAGAGAGTGACGTCAGCCCGAAATTATTGGCCTTACGTTCGATCTGGTCTTATCTTTTCAAACAAACTGCACCGCGCTTGTTCGCGCGCAAGATGTAACAATATACACGCGAACAATCGAGCGCGTATATCTCTGTGTATACGTGTATGCGAGCGCACGAGCGTGTGTTAACCGAGTCGCGTGTAACCGAGTCGTAAACCTCCTTCTACGGAAGGCTGAATATCGATGACGTCCGTGCCTCTCTACAACTCGAGATTCCGTAATTTTTCCCGATGCGAGACGCGTCGCCTCGCGCATATCGACGCTCCAACGATGCGTCTCTCCCTTCCCTCCTCCCCCCCCCTCCCTCCCTCCTCCTCCTCCTCCTTTTAATCGCGTTTTACAACAAAGAGATTCAAGCGTGTTATATAGGAAATGGAGGTTTTCTCGGAATAACGGGTACGTTATGACTGTTCCTTGTTGGATTGTTCGGCCAACGAGGAGGTCAACGATTGCGTGAAAGTAAGTAAGATTCGTGAAGGTGCGCGTGATTAGGCCTCGATGACACACTCGAGCCGGAAGAGAGAACGTTGTTTGGACGAGCGCGAGCCACAAAGGATCGTTGTCGGCCGCCGTTCGAGCCGAATCGCGTTAGAGAGCGGCGGTCGTGGACGAGGAAGAAGAGGAAGAGGATTGAAGAGAGTGCGAGAGACGCGCCAGTCGGTCGCGCTCTAGTCGATGACGCGGGGCCGAAACGTTTTGGAATGAGCTCACCTCGCTTCCTCCTTGTCCGGCTGATAGCGCAAGAGAAGGAAGGAGATGGTGAGCGCGAGTGCATATAAAGTCGTCGATTAGAATTATCGCTGCCGCTACGTAGCCTCTACTTTTTCATTCGTAGCCGACTCAGAGTCTTCGCCTTCGAGAGTCGGCGGACGCTATTTTCAAATGCGG